TAGTCAGCTGCTAAAGTATGACTGGAGAGTGCCCTGCACATCTGTGACGGAAGAACTCGACTTAAACAGGAGGGGAAAATCAGATCAATCAAATCGGCCCACGGCTGGGTTTTGAAATGCATGTGCAACAGGACGTTAATAGATGCTGCATTTTAAAAAGGGTCTTATGGTCAATAAATTTGGAAAATTCTGGAAAAGGGCAAAATTAAACAGATGTTTTACTACAGAACTTTTCAGAACTTGTACTATGCTGATGGACACTGTAAGTCTCCAAGAGAGAGTCAAAATATTTTCCAAATTTATTTCAAAATACAACTCAATTTTTGCAGAACATTATTCTGCACCAAGGTTCCAAGCAACATTCTTTGGGAAACACCAGCTTATTTTCTTAATGTACAGACCAGGCCTGACCATTGCTCTATTTTTAATGAGATCCATAAAAGATACATGTAAGGACTGTTATTTCATAAAATATTCACCCAACATGGTTCTTGCCCTCAAGAAGCGAACAGTCTACTGGAAAAGGCAGTCTGAAATTCTACATTGCATTGCACATGGTGCAATAAAATAGAACATGTGAATGGTCCAAAATGAGCCACTCAATCTGCCTGTGAGAGCAAGGAACGCCTCCACAGAGAAGCCGGCTGCTGAGATGGACCTAGATGATGGGTTAAGAGCTAAGAGCAACCTGAATATGGCAGAACATTCCTATAAAACTCAAACAAGACCTTGATGTTACTGGATACCAGTTTCATGGCCAAAATTCAACAATCCTGCCTTCCCAACTGTTATTTTTGCCACTATATTCGGCTAGCATGCTTTCTATACTCTGTACAGAACCCAAAAAGAACTCTGCCAGGCAGATGGGCTGGCCTTCTTAGAGTTCACCACAAAAATTAAATAAACAATATATAGCATTCTAGCAGAGGGAATAACATGCAATGTATTTTTCAAGCCAGAAGATACAGAAATATGCGATGTCTCAATCCAAAAGGAAAAAAAAAAAACTTCAGAAAAACCCAAAAATGTCACTGCCAACACAGGGTCACTGGAGCATCATTTGTTAATGTTACTAAAGAGGAAAATTCAAACACACCCCAGTGGCATTTCAGACAATCAGAAGGCACCAGTGGAATCAATCTGGACATGTGGGTGTTTTCCAGGTGGCTGAAAATGCAAAGAATTCGGTGCTTCTGCAATTTTCCCTATTAATCGGGTCAGGCATTTGACACTTGAGGTGGCAAAAAATTGTTTTAATGGCAACATCCCCTTGCCTGCCTTGCCAATTACCCTGGCCGTGGCATTCCTCTGTCCACACAGGCCACAGCTGCTTAATCTCAGCCGCCCCAGGCTGCACCTGTGAGTCAGGCCGGCCTAATCACACTAACAGATGGCAGGGGCCAAGTAGCCAGCTAAGAACTGCTATCACTTTAAATAGCATCTAACGTTTCACAGGCACCAAAGAGAGGCACCTCCCGACAGCAGTATCTCCCTGGTACAGCTAACACCAGCCCTTAATCACGGCAGAGCACCCATTTCGGGGGCAGAGTTGGTGTCATTCGAGAGCTAATTACCAAAAGAATCCTGCCTGCAAGGTGAAGGCATGGCAAGTGCACTGGGCTGGCATTCGTCACACAGAGCACTCTTCTGCCCGGCCCTTCTGCACGGGCTCCGGGCAGTCAGGACTAGGGTCACAAGGAAAGGCCAGAGATCCACAGCAGGTAATCCTGCCGAACCACTCGGCCTGGGTCTTGTGTGACCTATACCTCGCTGTTGCATTTTATTACTTCACGTGGCTTCGTGGTGACCTGTGATTAGGCAGGGTCCTTGACCACCAGGACAACACAGTTCCCAGGCATGCCAACAAAAGCAAGCTGGCGGAATCTGGTGTCTCAGTCAACAGCAATGGCACTGACACGCAGGTATCGCTTTAAAGCTATAAACAACCGTCTCTGTATGCCCACGCCACCCCCTTCACCACCCTGGAATGCCCCGCGTGCGACAGGCCTGCGACTGAATCACAGCTCTGCCTTTCGCTCACTGAGTCACGATTTTCCCATTAATAAAACAAGAATAAATACTCTCTCCGCCTTATCGGGTTATGGGTGGCATTAACGGAGCCAACAGCCAGCACAGAGTTGCCCAAAGCAAGCCCTCAGCTTCACGCCACAAGAACCACAGAAGTGAGCAACGCGCTCTGCCGTATCAGTGCTTTTAGTAAACAATAGTAACAACCTCCTTACCAGGCTGATACAAATCATCACAGGAGACGCTTTCACTGACCTTCTTACCCACTGCTTTGTGAACAAGACCGCTGGTGGTAAACTCCCATTCAAGGCAGATCTCCACGTGCCAATCCCTAAGCCAGGGGCTCTCACAGTTTAGTGTCAATCAGAGTCACACTAATGCAGTGGGTCTGAGGAGGGGCCTGAGAATTTTCGTTTTTAACAAGTTCCCGGACGATGCCAATACTGCCAGTCCAGGGACTTCACTTTGAGAACCACTGCCCTAAGCTTCCTCTTGCCAACAAGTAAAAAATGCATAGATCAAAATATTTCCCTTTTTGCCCAAGCTGTTTAGAGACTCAGGGACAAAACCAAACCTTCACTTACCTAACACATTTATCCCAGGTGCCTAACAATATCTGTTTTCTCTTCTTCCTTTAAAAATCTCTGGGCTAAAAGTCTTTTCAACAAACAGCGCTGCAACAACTGGACACCCATTCACAAAATATGAATCTAGACACAGACCTTGTACCCCTCACAAAAATTAACTGAAAACAGATCATAGACCTAAGTGTAAAACACAAACCTATAAAACTCCTAGGAGATAACACAGGAGAAAATCTAGATGACCGTGGGTTTGAGGATGACTTTAGGTATAATCTATGAAAGAAAGAATTGATAAGCTGGACTTCACAAAAATTAAAAATTTCTGCTCAGGGAGAGACACTGTCAACAAATGTAAGACAAGCCATAGAATGGGAGAAAATATTTGCAAAAGACTTATGTGATAAAGGGCTATGATCCAAAATATACAAAGAACTCTTAAAACTCAACAACAAGAAAACAAACAACGCAATTAAAAAAACAGGCCAAAGCCCTTAGCACACATCTCACCAAAGAAGATATACAGATGGCAATTAATCATATAAAAAGATGCTTCACACTGTATTTCATCAGGGAAATGCAAATCAAAACAATGACATAATACTATATACCTAATAGAACCGCCAAAATTCAGAACACTGACATCAAATGCTAGCTAGGATGTGGATAACAGGCATCCTCATCCATTGCTGGTAGGACTGCAAAATGGTACAGCTACTATGGACGGCAGTTTGGTAGTTTCCTACAAATCTAACATACTCTGACCATATAATCTATAGCAATCACGCTCCTTCATATTTACCCAAAGGAGCTGAAAACCACGTCCACACAAAAACCTGCACAGACGTTTGCTGCAGCATTCTTCATAATTGCCAAAAGTTGGAACTAACCAAGATGCCCTTCAGTAGGTGGATGGATAAACAAATTGTGGTGCATCTAAACAATGCAGTATTATTCAGTGCTAAAAACGAATGAGCTACCAAGCCATGAAAAGACATGCAGGCAACTTAAATGCACACTACTAAGTGAAGGAAGGCAATGTGAAAAGGCTATGGACTGTAAGATCATACAGCCTGATGTAAACTGCCATCTCTGGGCGATAATGACCAATTGTAACAAACGTACACTCAGGTGGGGATGTTGACATTGGGAGAGGTCGTGCCTGTGTCGGGACAAGGGTATAAGGGAAATCTCTGTACTTTCCTCTCAATTTTGCTATGACCCTAAAACTGTTCTCTTTAAAGTCTTTTTTCTTAAAAAAAGCTCTGGGCCTATTTTATTAACTAATTGTCTTATTATTTAGGCCTTGTTTAAATTTACTAAATTTTCTAAAATCCTTTTGAGAAAATGTAGCAAACACCACATAAGCAAAGAATCCCAAGGGCCAATGTACAATCGCTTTAGGAACATTCCAGCCATGTCACTGGCAAATGCAACTAATGCTATATTTTATTTTCTTTATTGAACAAACACAAGCACTCACTCTTCTGAGCACTGTACAAATAGTAACTCATTTAATCCTCATAACAACCCCATGAGATTTATTATTATTATTCTTAATTTTTCCCATTTTACAGGTGAAGAAACAGGGTGCAGGAATTAAATGAACAACTCCGAAGTAGAGGAGCAGGATTCGAACCCAGGCCGCCTCATCCCGGAGCCCACACCATGTTCCTTCTCACCAAGACGGTGGCCTCTCAGGTGTCAGTGCTCGGGGTTAACTGTCTCCGGTAAGCAAACCCTCAGCTCCTTTTCCATCAAGGCCTCTGAGGTGAGGCACACTCCTTTCCCTCCTCTCAGCGTGACACACACGTTTTAGAAAGCCCAGGTTTCTCAACCTCAGCACGACCGGCATTTCGGACCAGATAATTCTTTGTGACAGGAGCCATGCTGTGCATTGTAAGATGTTCACCAGCAGCAACCCTGGCCTCTGCCCATTAGATGCCACTAGCACCCCCCACCCCTGTTGTGACAACCAAACATTGCCCAATGTCCCCAGAGAGCAGAGAAGGGGGCAGTCACCCCCAGGCAGGAATCCTAGGTTGAGCCAAGCACGGATCAATGGTTACAAAGAAAACCAAGATGTTACGTGAGTCTATTTTTACATCTCAGAACAGTGAGAAGCCAAAGGGAAACGGAAAACCAAGGAAAGTAGTAACTGCTCTGAAGAGCAAGAGGCCACTGACACGAGAAGAAAAAGGACAAACGGTAGAGAAAGTGTGTAGCAACACTGGTTTATTTGAGGGCTGAAAGTCAGGAGAGTAGACACAGCAGGGAAAGGCAAGGGCCGCGGAGACAGCACCGTGCTGAAGAGTCGACAAGACAGGTGACAGGCAGGACTTCCCTCCGTGCTCCTCTCGCAGGGACCGTCGGAGCCGGGCGGTTACTTACTCTTGTTGTTACTGTTCTCACTGACAAAATCCTCAGGGCCATCTGTGTCGTCCTCGTCATCTCCGGATGAGATGGCATCTGCATTCAAAAGAACATATCCATGGATGTGTTTTTGCAAAGCAAAAGGCTGCAATTATCTACAGCTTAGACCTTGTCTGTAGCGAATTCAACAACCCACGAACCTACACGAAAAGTCTGGGACCATGTTTAGTTAAGACGGTTTCAATGGCTTAAATTTTCTCTCCATGATGACAGTCGGTCAATGTTATGATTCTCAACGTTTTCTGCTTTCACATTATTTAAACATGCCATAAAATTGGATATACTGGAACTGGGCTTTAAGCTTCAAACAGTGTCCAAGCCTCTGACAAATTTACCAATTGTAATATCCAAAGACTTTTTTTTTCAACATAACCTTTCAGGATTCAGGGTCCCCTTTGAGAAAGGAATTCAGTCCCTAACAAAACTTAGCCCCTGTGTGGCCCTTCTGATTGTCAACTCACATTCTGAAAGTAGGACTTTAACTCAGCCACAAAGAGGACCTGTCCAGTCCCACTCACTGCATGGAAGGAAAATCAAGGAGAGAAACTCAAATTTTAATAAAAGAATCAGAAATCTTCAGTATTCAAATTTCAATCCTGTGTTCTAAATGCCAAGGGTGTTAGTGGTATGGAGAGGGGAAAAAGGTATGTTTTTCCTTATGTAAAAGCATGCCTTCTTAAAAAGAAAAATGTTGCTTTGTGCACGAGAATTCTGTCATTCTTAATGACCAGCCTCTCTGGTGCACCAGGTCCCATGGAAAAATCTCAGAAACGGATCCGTAACAAATGGTGAAGCTGTGTGCCTAGCATCCAATTAGCAGGAATCACTATGATTTCACTTGGCCAAAAAAATTCTAACCAGAGAACGGCTACAGAGAAGAGAGGGCGTAGTGCTCGCAGGCCAACTCACCTGTGACATTCACCATGAAGTACCAAGTGTCACTGTCTACAGTCCTAGCGGCAGTACAAGCATAGAGGCCGGAGTCTCTAGGCGTGGCGCCTTTTATCTGCAAGTATTCCCCAATAAGCACTGTCCTATTGTTGGGCCCCACGTGTACCCCATCCTTAGTCCAACTGATCATGGTGGCATCTTTCAACAGGCAGCGCAACTCTAGCGACTCCCCTGGTGCGGCCACGTAAACTTCTGGTTGAGAGATTTGGTATTTGGTTGGTGGCTCTGCAGAAAGGTGGGAGAGAAGGCGGAGACAGATGGGAAGGAGGGAAAGGAGAGAACGTCCAACAAAGGTCAGTGGAGGCCTGTTGATTCCCAGGAAAAGCTGTTCATGCTTTGCAAATGGCCCCAGCAGGCGTCCATCTCTCCCTGGATGCCGGGAAGCCAGGAAGCAGCCCCCACTCATGGACTAGACTGGGCATCTGACACAGCAACCAGAGGAAGCACCCAGCCAAGCTGTCCTGCCTTGGTTTCCAGGTACCGCAGGGCTTGAAAAACAAACCAAACCCCAGCGTGAAAGGATATTTCACAAGAAAATGTTTCAGTCAACTGCTGGTCCAAAGCCTGCTTGCACCGTAACACCTGGGAAAGTCTATCACTCTGGCACATTTTATTTGTGAGAACACTGAGTTTTACAAACGCGTGTATTCAACGTGACTATGTGTAACACATACACACACACACACACACACACACACTCTTAATTATTTATTTGTGCGAGACTCAGCCTGTTTTCACAAAGCCAAGCTTCTTCAATCGAAACATCTCTAACTCAAGGGAAACTGATGGATCCCGGCACAAAATGGTTTGCCGCCTGGAATTTTTGTGAGCTCTGAAGTTCAGATCAGTACTTCGCGGGAATCAAGACTTAATTCTGTGCTGGGTAAGCTGGGACATGCTGTTTTTCTCAAAATGATAAAAGCTGGAGGCCTTAATACCAAACACAAAAAGAACAAAATGCCCGGACAGCTGAGAGGAGGTCTCCACTGCGCTCAAACGGATCCTGACTTGAGGCCGCTGGGTGCTGCGTGGCCCTCACCCCACCTCACAAAGCGGATCCCACCCTGCCCCCCAACCCACCACACGCACCTGGGGCTCCACAGCCTCCCAGCCTCCTGTGCCTCTCTCTTCTGTGGGACACTCCTTCCTCCCTCTCGTCCCCATTCAACCCGATCTATCCCTCAAGGCCCAAATCGAGCCATGTCCTCCGTGACAAGGAACGGCCCATCCGTCGCCCGGGCCAGACGTGATCTCTGTCCCTCCACTGCACGTCTGCCCACTTCACCAGCTCGTGGGATATGCCACATTTCTTACAACGTCCCATCTCCTGAGCAGACACCAAGATCCTAGAGGGAAGGTTCGTGTCTCGGGGTGCTCTGTGTTCCCCACCCTAGCCCACCTGGGCCACCCTGGGCGTACATAGGGAAGGTGGCCATGGTGAACGGGACTACAGTCCCCAAATATGCAGGGCAGGATGAGACTCTAGAGGATCCAACCCAGAAAAGGAAACCAGTGGCCTTTTGGAGCAGCCAGAGCTGCTGGCTGGGGTGGCCACGAGGGTCCGTGAAGCAGACTGGCATCCCTACAGCAGAACTGCGAATGGTGCCCGGAAACACACGGCTTCCCAGCACTGGGCAGCATCATGGGGCAGCCGTCCTGCCTCGACCCCACACAAGAGGACAACCTCCCACACGAGACTGAAATAAAGTCAATTCGTGTTTCAGTCCCACTGTTAAAGGGGCAGTGAGGGGCACAAGTGTCCAGTCCAAGAAACCCCCTCACCACCACAATCAACAGCCAACGGGGAGGCCCGGGGCTTCCTAAAGGGGCATCCCCAATGCCGGACAAGGCAAGAGAGGCCCAGACGCTAACGGTGCGCGAACCTAAAGAGACAACCACAACAAAAGGCAGAAAAGAGAAGTTAAACTGAACATGGACAAACACACCCCCAACACAAGGGAACCCCCCAAACAGCCTACCCGCTGACGGGCAGGTTTATGTTTCAGAAGTCAGTTTTTCTCACTCAACAGTTATTTACTGAACACCTACTATGGACCAAGCTTTGTTCTGGCCGCTCAGGGAGCAACAGGAGACAACGCAAAGCCCCGGCACGTGTGGAGCTTCCAGTATGGTGGGGGTGACGGACAATAAATAAAAAATCTACAAAAAATAAAGCATGTGCAGTGGTCTCAAGTGTTCGGAAGAAGAATGTTACGCGTTAGCAAGATAACGGACACGCAGAAATGGTGGGTGAGGGCTCGTTCCATAGCAGGGGTGGCAAACGATGGCCCGCAGGCAAACCAGCCCTACTGGAACTCGGCCACGCTCACTCCTTCGCACACCGTCTGGGCCGCTTCTGCGTTACAAGGGCAGAGTTGAGTAGTTGCGACACAGACCCTGTGGCCCGCAAAGCCTAAAATATTTACAGTCCCGCCTTCACAGAAAGTTTTTCAACTCCTGTTGCATGAGATGATCAGAGAAGCTTCTCCAAAGAGCAGCCGTCTGAGCTGAGAAGTGAAGGACAAAGCAAAATTTAAAAGACGCTGTCGGGAACTTAGCCAGAAGGTTCTCAGATCAGCTCTCCCAAGGCTGGTTAAGTCGTACCGTGGCTGAATTGAGTGACTCAGGGAAATACTTCGAACACTGAACGCTGAACAGGAAAAAAGACAGGAAGAGAAATCTGAGAAAGAGAGAAGGGGGTGGTTCAGTCTGGCCCCCAATCTCAGAACGTCTCCCATTCCCAGGGTCCGAGAGTCACTGATTCATTCAACAACCTGGCCCAATCCCTTCACAGCTGAGTAAAACAATGATCAGGTGTCATTGGGGTCCCTTGTCTCCAACAAATAATTATTGAAACAGCACCCACAGCATTAGAATGAATTTGCATTGGATTGAATGGGGTCAGAAAATAATCAATATTTATTATGACCATGTCATGCGATCAGCAAGTCATCAAAAATGCTGTGAAATTTGCTTTGCTCTGAGTCAAAGTTGGTCAAGGATTCCTGAGAAGAGGGCAGAAGCAGCGAAGCTTCCCTCCCTTAAAGGGGAGGCGACTGGGGCCCTCCGCTGTCCTGCCCCCGCAGATAAGGTGAAGTCGTGTCCCTATTCCGTGTGGTGGAATGCTCTAACACTGCATTAGGACAGGAAAAAAAAAAAAAAGATAAGCAAGGCATTTACAACTATGATGCAGAAAAATCTCTCTCCTGACAAAGCTAGAGTAACGACTTATGATTTCTCCCTTTTTAAGGGAAAGTGTTTTCACTAAGAATCTTTTCCTTTGCCTGAAATCAGTAAACCACAAAGTCTTGCTGCAGCCAGGGATGTCTGAGATGCTAGACCAATGTCACCAAAAAGACATCACCACCTGCCATTCTGGAATGAAGAACGTGGGACCGTGAGGACCTACGTCCTCAGGATGGAGGAGATGCTTGGCAAAGGATGCTGTCCTGGAGGAGAGGAGGATGGAGCCCTAAGCTCCTGCACCTCTCTGTCCTGCTTAACCTGTCGGCCTCAGGTTCCCCATCTACTGAAGAGCAAGAATACCCAAATACCAGGCCAACGAGCCAACAACGGCAAACCTGATTCTCCGATAACTGTCACTACCACGGTTATTCCTCAGAGCTGAAAATGCCACTATTTTGAGCACCACAATTTTCACAGGATAATCTGAGAACACTTGGATTTGTATCTCTAAATCAAAAAGATTTTACTCATGGGCTCCTATCTCAACAGACAGGATGACGTACTAAAAATGGTTTTTATTTCCAGTACAACCAAATCGAAACTGTCATCCAGTTTTCCGAGCTTCAGGAAGATTAATAATCTCCCAAAAATACATTAATAAGGCAAAGACACTTACCCAAAAAAGCAAGCCATCCCGATTTCAAAGTCTCAAACCAGTAACGATGGCCTTGGGAATTCTGAAAGCAGGGACTCCTCCCTCCCTCCCCTAAGTGGTCATTTCACAAAAGCCCCATCTTGGGGGTCAGCAGTGTCGTTAGCAAACAATCCAGCAATATTCCAGGTATCCTGGGCTGACTGTAGCACGTGGCAAGGAGAAGGGAGAATGGGTGGATACACACGAAAGAAAGGGAGGAAGTGACTGGGGAGAAATAGTAAAAAAGAAGGACGTAAGATGAGAGAGGCGGGGAAGGCCTGGGGCCGCAGCAGGGGAGGGCCCAAGAACAACCCAGTCACCTCCCTGGTCCCTGCACATGGGCACACATCAAATGCATCTCAGGAGGCCACCTGCTATTTAGGGGTTCTGGCTGCTCTTCGGTGTCTGAATGTTCCAGATGACCTCATCGCCCACTCCTTGCAGATATGTGCGCCCCAAGCCCTCGTCGTCCCTCTGATACCAGTGATGCTGCGCCCACCACGCCCCAATGCGCCTCCCAACACCGATCATCTTCCATAGACGGGGCCACCCCTACTCTACATGCCTGCTCTGTGAACCAGGACCTTTGACACAGGGCAAAGAATTCCCGGGAAACGTACACGATACCTTTTATGGCAATATTAACACTTCCTGGGCTCACTGTGTTCTGGTGCCGTGGCACACTTTTCACCTTTCCCATGCGAATCTGCGTGGCACGCACGGTCCAACGTTTCCCTCCTCTCCTGTCAAGGCAGGACAGGGAGAAGGTTCCAGAAGCTGCTTCACTAAACACCAAATGCTCTTTCAGAGACTTCCACAGACAGAAAATATGTTTCCACATATTTTTCGTAAAATAAATTAAAATTCAAAAAGAAGCAAGCAAGCTGGAACACAGGCACATGCTAGTGTTGGACATTCTTTGTCACTGTTACCTAAAATTACTAAACACACAGGGGATGAGTTTCCTGCCATGGCCACACCACTGTTCACAGCCCTGCTTGCAAGGTTTAGCTGTGTCCGGCTGAATTTTCTCCCAGAAGTTTCCAGCACTTGGGAAGGGCCAGCAGTATGTTATCAGACAGCTTCTTTTCAATAAATTGACTCCTCTGGCAGGAAAAGAATGAAAGAGATAGGTACTTGTGCAGCTAGTCAAGAAATAAACGTTCTGAACAAAAACAGGCATCTGCATATAGCCTGTGTGTCACCTCCTTCCTTCCTGGGAGCGGGTATCTCCTTCCTGGGCCTCCTTCCTTCCCGAAGAAACTGCTCACGCTTCTACTCCTCAGCAGCTAACAGGAATTTAGAACTGAGGGGCCTTCGACTGGGGAGAGGAGGAAACTGAGGC